GATCTCTCTCTCTCTCTCTCTCTCTCTCTCTCTCTCTCACACACACACACACACACACACACACACACACTTGGGCAATAAAATCGCTTTTTCCCTCCCAAAGTTCTCAACTGTCTCGTTAGGACTCAGGAAACCTGTGAGGCTCTAACCCAGGGCTTCTTAACCTCTCTGTGGGAAGACTGGTTGTTTTTTATTCCCCAATCCATGACAGACCAACACTTTGGTAAAATAATGATAAAAATGTAAAATATGGTTTTAAAAACAACACACCACCATACTTGGATGCGTGGGAATGTCAACTTGCTCTACAAATTCCTAAAGGCTTACTCTCAATTGCTTTACTTATCTTGCCCAGACCCGCCAACACCCATCTGGTTACAACAAGGCCCACCTCCCTGGACACTGGCCTGAAAATGCCGAAAGAATCAGGGCCCTTGGAGAATGAAAGGTGGTGTGAGAAGCAGTGCAACGGCGTTACCTGATCTACAAGGGATCACGGAGGAGTTTGGGGCAATCAGGACCTACGGGTTCCCTTCATGGAGGCTAACAGAGCAGGTCTGTGAAGTCCCAGAGATGGGTGCCCAGCCTGGAGGGTCTGGGTGATTCTGCCAGGAGCAGGGTCTACACCCGTGGCATCCATCCCCAGGGGCCAGCGGGAAGGTGCTGTGCTGGCTCCAGATTCTGGGGGTGGGGGGCAGGTGAGGGTGGGCGCAGGACTTACCGATTTGGAAAAGCCCACACAGCACACAGCTCTGTCAAACACGCCCAGGCCCAGCACGTGTAAAGTGGAGAGAGAAACTGAGTCCCAGACGCGCACGTGGGGTGGCAGTGGCTGCAGGGAAGAGAGGCCTGTTACCTGGAGCAGCCCAGCTGCCTTCCCCCCACCCCCAAGACCCCACCCGTCTCCTGGTCCTGCCCTCGTCACTCCGTTACCTTCCCTTCCTTAGTGGTGCCTGCCACCTGTCCAGTGGCAATGGTGACCATATCAGGGTGGACAGCCAGGCTGAGGAGAGAGAGGACAGATGGACAGGGCTCAGTGGGCGCGAGGGAGGCCAGGCCCCCCCCCGACAGCATGCCACAGTCGTGATGCCTGGTTATTCATTCTACAGTTGGTTGACTGAGTTGTTTAGTCAATAAACAGTATCAATAAAGAGGTACCCTCTGGGTACCCCAGCTCAGAAGCAAGACCTGGGCCTGTGGTCTCTAATTCAAGTGTCCAAAGCGCTAAGGCCTGGACCACAAGTGGCCAGGAGAGGGCACCCACTTAAAGGGGCAGCCACTGCCCTGGCCGGTATACGCAGTGGTTAGGGTGTTGGCTAGCATACTGGAGGGTCTCGGGATCTATTCCTGGTCGGGGCACATGCCCAGGGTTGCGAACTCAATCCCCAGTGTGGGGAGTGCAAGAGGCAGCCAATCAATGAATCTCTCATCACTGATGTTTCTGTCTCTCTCTCTCCCTCTCCCTTCCTCTCTGAAATCAATAAAAATAAATAAGTAAATAAGTTAAGTAAAAAGAAAAATAAGTAGCCACACCAAGTAGGTCCAACAGACGGCTGGATTATCTGGGATGCCCTTCCTCTCTGTAAAAAATCAATAAAATATATTTAAAAAAAAAAAAGTAAATAAGTTAAGTAAAAAGAAAAATAAGTGGCCACACCAAGTAGGTCCAACAGACGGCTGGATTATCTGGGGTGCCAGCTAGAAGTTTTCAAAGGAAGTGAAATATCCAGGCATTTGAGAAAATTAACCAATAATCTGAAATATAACCAATCCACACGTTCCCCCTCTGAATTCAGCCAGCAGGCCACCAAAGGCCCGGCCCCTCCCACCCCACCCCCAATACTGTCCCCAGTAGCATCTCTCTCCAGGCCCCCCCCCAGGCCTCACCATTTGATGTCATCGTTGTGCCCCAGGTAGTGCCGCTGCCTCTGTTCCTCCACGCTGTACAGCACGGCCACGGAGGCCACGAAGTACACGATCTCCCCCGTGGGCAGCAGGTAAAGGTTGGCGCGGCAGTCTCGGCCCCGGTAGCCATAGCTGGAGATGCCCGGGCTGGTTAAGGAGCCTGTTTGGCATTGCGTGTGCCGGCTGACTGCCGAACTCAACCAGGTAACGGGAGGTGGGTTTTCTTGCTTCCAAGCTTCCCCCCTCGGGGGCTTGAGTGATGGTAGGCCCCCACAATTATGTCCACGCAAATATTAACGCCGGAACCTGAGACTGTGGTCTTACTCGGAGAAGGCGTCTTTGTAGGTGTAATTGAGGATTTTAGGATGAGATCAGCTGGGGTGGAAAAGGCCATGTGAATCGACCTCTGAACCAGGAAGTCACTGTTCAATCCCGGTCAGGGCACATGCCCGGGTCACGGGCTCGATCCCCAATGTGGGGCGAGCAGGATGCAGCTGATCAATGATTCTCTCTCATTGTTGATGTTTCTGTCTCTCTCTCCCTCTCCCTTCCTCTCTGAAATCAATACAAATATATTTTTTTAAAAAGAAAAGGCCCTGTGAAGATAGAGATTGGAGTGGTGCAGCTACAAGCCAAAGAACTCCTGGGGTTGCCAAACAACAGCCAGCAAAAGCTAGGAGCCAGACAAGGACAAATCCTCCCCAGAGCCTGGGAGGGAGTGGCCCTGCTGACACCTTGCTTTGAGTGATGGTAGGCCCCCACAATTATGTCCACGCAAATATTAACGCCGGAACCTGAGACTGTGGTCTTACTCGGAGAAGGCGTCTTTGTAGGTGTAATTGAGGATTTTAGGGTGAGATCAGCTGGGGTGGAAAAGGCCATGTGAATTGACCTCTGAACCAGGAAGTCACTGCTCAAATCCCGGTCAGGGCACATGCCCGGGTCACGGGCTCAATCCCCAATGTGGGGCGAGGATGCAGCTGATCAATAATTATCTCTCATTGTTGATGTTTCTGTCTCTCTCTCCCTCTCCCTTTCTCTCTGAAATCAATACAATATATTTTTTAAAAAAGAAAAGGCCCTGTGAAGATAGAGATTGGAGTGGTGCAGCTACAAGCCAAAGAACTCCTGGGGTTGCCAAACAACAGCCAGCAAAAGCTAGGAGCCAGACAAGGACAAATCCTCCCCAGAGCCTGGGAGGGAGTGGCCCTGCTGACACCTTGCTTTGGGATTTCTGGCCTCCAGAGCTGTGAGCGAAGGGCTTCCTGGTGTTTTAAGCCACCACGTTTGTGGTCATTTGTTACAGCAGCCACGGGAAATTAATATAACTTCCTGCCCACCCCTCTCCCCCACGGGGATGCAGTTAAACCCATTCACGCTAATTCCGCTTCCACCCCTCCTCTTCTCAGAACCTTCCCATGGGTGGGTCCCACCTCACTCAGAATCAAAGTCAAAGTCCTCACAAAAGCCCAGGCACGAGGCCTAACCTGATGTGGGCCCTGATTCTTCATTCCTCTCTCCCTACTCAGCTCCGGTCCCAGGAGCTGTCCTCCCTTCTCACCTCAGGGGCTTTGCCCTTGCTCTTCCCTCTACTGGAGCCCTCCTCCCTTTCAGCTCTCATGGCCCCTCAGTTCCTCCCACCCTCTGCTCAGCTGTCAGCTCTGGAGGAGGCCTTCCTGCCCCTGCTCTCCGAAACTGCAAACTCACGCACCCTCACTGCCGCCACCCCTCCCTGCTCCATCTCTGTGCCCTGCACTCACCAGCATCGAATGCTATCTGTTCAATTATCTGCAATTATCTGCCTCCTCCGCTAGTGTCCGCTCTGGGAGGGCAGGGCTGTCTGTCCATTTTGTTCACTGCTGTATCCCCCATGCCCAGATCAGGGCCTGATGCACAGCGGACATCCAGGGGTGGGCAAAAGTAGGTGAATAATAATAAAAAATAAACAATACAATAATTAATGAATAAATAAGAATACAAGAATAAACTGATTCACGTCCGCATCACTATAAACCTACTTTTGCCTCCCCCCCCCCCCCCCACATTT